AAATGTCAAAGGGTATTGGAGCTTGGTTCCATCAAACCAGCTCAACTGTCCGGCCCTCGTGGGTGTTGTTGAGTGCCTCTCTGTCTAGCCACCCCAACCCCTGTCCTAGTTATTCTGTGCCCTCCCATGTGAGTGGCATCCCAAGAGGGAGGAGCCCACTATTTCCCTCCCAGGTCACTCTCTCTCCCGGACCATGCGCTCTCCAGGTGACCCTGTGGTTGGACTTGAGATAATCAGCCCCTAGTGCCAATCACCCCCAAAATAAACTTATCTTTTAATTCAATTTTCATAATTTATAAAAAAAACTACTTTTTTGAAAGGTAGAGTTATGTGCCCAGTACCGTTGCCTAGTAGCTAAAGTCCTCACCTTGAATGCACCAGGATCCCATATGGGCGCCGGTTCTAATCCCGGTGGCCCCGTTCCCATCCAGCTTCTTGCTTGTGGCCTGGGAAAGCAGTCTAGGACAGCCCAAAACGTTGGGACCCTGCACCCATATGGGAGACCTGGAGGAGTTTCCTGGCTCCTGGCTTCAACTCGGTGCAGCCCGGCCATTGCGGACACTGGGAGAGTGAATTATCAGACAGGTGATCTTCCTCTCTGTTTCTCCTCCTCTCTCTGTATATTTGACTTTGCAATAAAAATAAATAAACCTTTAAAAAAAAAAAGAGTTACAGAGAGATGGGGAGACAAAGAGATCATCCATCCACTGGTTCACTCTCCAGATGGCCCAACAGCCAGAGCTGAGTCAACCCAAGCCAGGACATTCTTCCAGGTCTCCCACACAGGTGACGGGGTCCAAAACACTCATGCTGCTTTTTCAGGTGCATTAGCAGGGAGCTGGATCAGAAGTGGAGCAGCTGGAATACAAACTCCTATTGGAGGTCAGTATGACAGGTTTTGTCTGCTAGGCTCTTGTTCATCTAAAAGATGTACTGTTCCCTGTGCTTTAGTACCAATATTGTACAAGGTTATACAGAGAATGGTTTCCCAAAACTACTAACATCCAATCATTCCTCTCTCATTCCTACCTCCATACAATTGATCAAAAAGAGCAAAGAAAAACAAAAACAAGGGGATTTATTTGATTAGAAAAGCATCCTTCATGTTATTCCCAAAGAAATTCAAAGTTTCAATCCTATTATCAACATAACTCATTGCTGAACGAAAGTTGTGGTGAAAGCTGATTGTGTGTATCAACATGGCTAAGAGATGTGGGCTAGTTGTTTGTACAAATAATGGTCTAGGTCTTTCTGTGAAGGGTATTTCACAGATGGTGCCTACATTTATACCCTATTGATCTTAAGAAAATCATCCTCAGCAATGCTGGTGAGTTCCCATCAGTTAAGGGCCTTCAGCGCAAGAATGAGATCATCTGGAGAAGAAATCCTGTCTATGGATTTTGAACTTAAGACTTCAACATCAACTTTTGTCTGAATGTCCAGTCTACCAGCATTAGGCGTCTCAAACATTGCAGTTCCCAAAATTGCGAAAGCCATTTGCTTAAGATCAACTGGATCCAATAGACAGACAGGCACACACACACACACAAAGACAAAGAAGCAGATAGAAATTTTCCCAAAGGACCTGATTAATAGTTATATTTCAAGCAGTTGTTCCTCTTTTGTGAATCTTTCACCACATAAATATACCTATTCTTGAATTTTGTGACACTAAATAAAGATAGGCACTTAAGTCTTACTCACTGGTAAAAGTCAATTTCTCTACTGCTTTGAAGAACAGTACTGTCAAAGGAACCCAATAATCAAGGTACTCCTCCAACTAATTAAGAAATTTTACACCAGAGGTTCCTAACATAAAACCATACCTGAGCCCAGAATGTCTAATCCATATATTATCTGCAAATCTTAATCAATTATCAATAAGAAGTTGGAGAAGTTTGATAGAAACGTTTTCTTCTGAAAATATTGATCATGGTTAAGGCCTACCTCAAGCATAAAGGTTTCAACAGTTAATGTAACTCAGAATAGGAGGTTGCTATGCCCAATTTCCATCGCCTCATTCACCAAGACTTTGCATTCTGACTTTTGGGGGTCAGCTTTAATGCAAAATATAATGGGAGAATAATGAATATTTCAGATTTTCCTTAAGTTTTTTTTTTTTAAAGATTTATTTTGGAAAACTGTGTTTAAAAAAATACAGGAATGGGAAGGGGAGAGAGACAGACAGACGGAGAATCTTCTATATGCTAGTTTATTCTCCAAGTAATCATCAATGGTTGGTTGGGTCTGGGCCAATCTGAAGCCAGGAACCTGAAATTCCACCTGGGTCTATCACATTGGGTGGCGGGTGCCCAAATATTTGGAGCATCTTCCACTGGTTTCCCACATGTGTTAGGAAAAAGCTAATTCAGAGGAAGGTTGGGTCAGATAGTACTCAAACCAGTGTTCATAAGGCATTACTGCTCACTGGCCCTTAGAAACCACTTGCTGAACTTTGAATTGCCAACATCTGCTCTATTCCCTGGTGCTACATTATACTTAAGAAGCCTCCAATGTCCACTATGAAAGTGATCATTTTGTACTTAGTTTCACACTTGACATGTAGACTGAGAAGATGGTATCTGAAATGATTCTGCTTTTAATAGTGAACTAGTTGGAGCTCAGAGGAATAACATAAAGTTTTGCAACTATTTAGCAGAAATAAAATCCCAAAAGCTATTTATAGATTTTGTTGTTTGCACGTGAGTCATGTTTTCTGTGACTTAGACATGTAACCATGGGGTGTATAAAGTCCCAGTCCTCTTAGAGTGACTCATTAAGAACAAAAACACTTGTGCTAGAAGCAAACTATACCCATTAATACACAATAGTAATGGACATTATAAGTTAGCTATGAAAGAGTAATACATATTAATATGTAGCCGCATCAGCACTGCTCTTGTCTGAACTGATAGCACAACACCATAGACTGAGTGGCTTAAACAGCAGAAACATCCCTCCCAATCCTGGTGCCTGGAAATTCAAGACCAAGGTATCTGCAGATCCCACGTCAGATGAGGTTTCCTAATTTGCTGTCTTGTTCCCTCCCTTGGTAGAGCACAGAATGATCGTTCTTCCCTGTCGCTTCTTAAGAGGCCACTAATCTCATTCCTGAGGCTCATCTTCCTGATTCAGTAGTTCCTCACGGTCTCTTCTCCAAACGCCATCCCACTGGTGATTTTATGTTCAACATATGAATTCGGGAGGACATAGTCCATTGTAGCTCTCTGCCCCCAGCCCTTAAGGAGGAGACTCCTACCTTGCTAGAACAATGATTTTGATTCCCATTAAGGGGAAAGAGTAGGGACAAAGGATCTGCAGCACACAAGTCTGGAGAAGAGTAGGAAAACAGGGACAAAGGCATCTACTAACTGTGAGAGAAAGTGGATGACAGAGAAATGAGAAGTGCTAAAGCTCTATACATGTTTCACAAGACCCAGTTAAGAACATTTTTACATGATTTTGCATGTATGTTTCCATTCCTCTCCTTGCTTAACACAATAACATGAACACCAGGCTATGATGAGACTCAGTGATTTGCAAGCATTACACAGAGTATTAATTGCAAATATGGACATTTCTGGAGAAACTGAGTATTTTATAAAGGCACAGGGAAAAACTTCAACCAGATAATTGAGGATCCAAAATGAAAACACTTCTCCATTTCCTAGAATAGTCCAAAGAATAAATATCAGTATTTCCTTTAAATAATCCAGCAAGTAGCCCCAGCACTACAGTAGCATTTTTTTTTAAACAAATATTTATTGAGTTGGTTTGGAGACTGTATATTTACCACAGCTAAACAAAAAATTGCCTTGATAACAGCCGTGGTGCCAACATCAGTAATAAGAATTTAGAATATCCATAAGAGATGCCAGGTCACATGGGTAGTAAGGAATCTGGCCACTACATAACTTGAACAGCTCTTCAATAATTTGCAATTAAAAAGTAGAAATATTCTGCAATTAACAAAATAAGCCTGGCTTAAGAAACGTTTTCACGGTTCTACAGGCTGGAGTTCAAGATCAAGGTGCCAACAGATGTTTAACGTATTTAAGTGCTTTCACAAAACTAACACCATGTGCCAATTCAATATAAAAGGTTGGAAAGCTGTTCCTTTTCTTAACAAAGTTAATGTTCTTGTTCCATGTTCCTATTTGCTTAAGGATTAAGCTTTACTTCTGGGAAATCCTTGAGGGGAAGTGTTTGAGAAATAGAAAAGCCTGGACTCTCAAGTCTTCAGTCACTGGGCCAACATCCCTGGAACCTCTCCTTTGTGCAAGACATGGTACCCAGCGCCAGGTCGGGACACATCCCTCCACAGGAGGCAATCCCTGTTCTGAGGCAACGCCGACCGCGGCGAGGGAGCGGTTGCAACTGAGCAAACTGCCTGGGACACAGGGATGCAAACGGTGCACAGGGCTGACGCGTCGGCAGTTACCAGAGCACCAAGCACAGGGCCCATTCCCCTACCCGTCTGGTCCGCGTCCTGCTGCGAAGTCTCAGCTCTGGAGACCTGCCGTAGAACTCGTCCTCCCCGGAGCCCGAGGTTTCGGGACGCAGGGCGCCAAACTGAGAGCACAAGGCGGGAGAAGAGGCTGAAGCCACCAAAAAAAAAGGATGTGGTCCGCGCGACCCCCTCAAAGGTGCTCGAAGGTGCCGCAGCAGGTGGGGCACCCTAACGGGAGCCACTGAACCCACAGCGCCGCTCGCAGGCCGAAAGAGAACGCTCAGCATACCACCTGAGTGGAGGGTCGGCGCCGCGCGCCGCGCGACCCCGCCAAAGGCGCCTGGCGCGCGACCCGCGCCTCGGGCGGGCTGGCGGGAGAAGCCCCGCCCCTCGCCCCTCCCCGCGAGGCGCGCCAGCCGGTCCCCACGCGGCGCCAGCCCTTCCCCGGGTCATCGCCCCTCCCCTCTTCCGGGCCGCGAGCCCCCCGCGCCCCGCCTCAGGCCCGCGCGCGCGCGCGCCCACCGCGCGCACCCTGCCGCCGGCCCGCCTGCCAGTCCTCTCAGCGCGCGCGCGGGGCCGCCCGACGACGCGGGAGCTGCACGCGCCGGACGAGGCTCGCGGCGCTTCCCGGGAGCCGAGCGCGGGCCGGCTGAGGCGGAGCCCTCGGTGCTTGGGCCACCGGGGACACGGTGGCGGCAGCCGAATCTGCAACCCCCAGAGCTGCGGCGGCTGTGAGGAAGCCGGATTCGGGGGGTAGGCGGACATGGCGAGGCTGAGGACATCGAAGCGGGGCGGGGTGGGGAGGGTGGTCCGAAGGCTGCTGAGGCCACGTCGGAGGCTCGCTGCCGAGCGGGGCGCCGGGGGGAAAGCTTGGGGAGGTGGGCTGGGGGTCGAGGCCGGCGTGAGGGGCTGCGCGGCTCGGCTCGGGGGGCTTGCCGGCCGGGATGTTGGCGGGACCCGGGGCAGAGCGCTGAGGGGCGGACGCCGCCCCAGGCTCCTGCCACGTTTCCACCGCGCGTTTACCTTCCGCCCCGGGCTGGGAGAGAGCCCGGTCTCCCGCGGCCGGCTCCCTTGGCCTCGCCGGCTGCCTTGGGACCCGGGACCCCGCTTGCTATGTCGAGGGTCGCGCCTCAGGGGCGCCTGATGGTCGAAGCCAGGGGAGTGTTTTTGGAAAGAGAGTCAAGGAACTGGAATGGGGGGGAGGGGCCCTTCCTCCTCAACCCCACCGCCCCAAAGTTGGAGGGGAACCGGGATTGCAGAAGTTGAGCGCGGCTCGCAGGCCGTGCTTTCCTCAGGAGTGGGTGGAGATGTTTGGTGCCTGCCTGCTCACCTAGCCCTCCTCAGACCCCAGCAGCAGGGCTTAGCAGCCGGGGTCCGTGGTCACACTCTGCTACCTTGGAAAATGTTGGAGCCCGAGTTGTGGGACGGCCGGGGCCATTCTTCCCGCTCACTCCCTCCACCTTGGGGCTGTCCGGTGGGAGACACGCTGGTTTCTAGAAACGGTTGTATGAGAAGGGAAAAGTACTGTGTTACCCACTCCTGGAAGGGCCGGCGTGGTTTTCCTTTGGGTTTTCTCCACGCACCCCGGAGAAGGGGAGCTTGTGGAACAAAGTAGAACTTGAGGGGCAGCCGCCCGCCGCGGTGACGACGTCCCAGAATGACGTCACCGTGCAATATTTAAAATGGGAGCTTTTTGTTCCCAGTGTGGGTGGAGGGATTGTGGCCACTTACTCAAGATCAAGATCTAATGTCATCGTGTCCCTGTTCGCTTCACAATGACCTCTCTTTCCCCCTCCCCCCCCCCTTTGGTACTCCTAGATTTCTGGGGAGGCTGGGTTTATTTTTCGGCTATTCCAGTCATCATTCTTGCAAACAAAAAATAAATAAATAAAGCCTCATCTCGTATGACTCATCTTGTGCTACAACTAAGAGCAACCACTAAGTGGATCTTTCCTTCTTTTTCTTCTGTTTTGCTTTTGATAGGAATCTGAGCAAACAAAACTAAAGGCCCTAACTGCTATATGTAGCATATATCTGACAGACTTAATGAAGAGAATAGTCTAGTTTAGGGTTCACTATATTTCTTAGTGTGGTTCCTTGTTTGCTTGCTTTTTGTTTTGTTTTTTTTTTTTTTTCTTTTTCTCTTTTTGGTATGGTAAAAGCTAATGTGGTTTTATGGACAACTTTTTCCCCGCAAATTGCAGGGGCTACTTTTTCCCACCATAATGTGGTGTAAATGTAGCCTTATAAAGTGGGGATGGGTTCACAGTTTTAGAGAGAAGGTTACCCAGTAGCTGTAGTGGCCTAGGATTGTGTGTACAGATCCGTGTGCAGTTCCTGGTGGCCAGCCATGGATGGAGTATTTGGCATTCTAAGGTTCCAGGAGGAAGGCTTGGGTGGCTTCCCGTCCAGGATCAGGTTGACTGTGGCTGCCAGAACACCTCTCAAATAACTATATAGAATTTATTTCAGACTGAAGTCCCTTGTTTGAATTCAAACACGTAGTAAAGAAACCGCATTATGAACAGTAAGATGAAGAGCAGTTTGGGGGAAAAAAGAAAGCTAACAATCCTCTTTGTTGTGTGAATGTGTGGCAACACAAACTGTCAGTTGCTGGGTAAGTGAGTTTTGATTACCAGCATAGCAGAAGCTGTATGAACTTAATAACTGGCTCCAGAAGGTGACGGTGCAATGCAAACAGAGCATCTGAATATTTTCAGTTATTACAGCCACCACATTAATTAACGATGGACTGTCTTTAGAAAGGCCTTTTTTTAGATAGTTTCAAAATGCAGCTGAGTTATCTGTTACAGTTTTTCAATGCATAACCGGGTTTCTGTTCATAAATATGTTTTGATAGAGTCTCTGTTTTATCTTTTTGATAAATTTATCTCCGTCCCTGGAAGAGTACTTACAGAAACTCCAATACTGAACTTTTCTTAGATGTAGCAGTTTTGTTGAAGGTAGCTTACAGCTATTATCATAGTTAATTTTAGAATACTTTGTTTCGCTCAAAAAGTAACCTTGTGCTTATTAGTATCATTCCTCCTTTACACCCATTCCTCATTCCTCTAGGTCACTGCATTTTGCTTTCTGGACACGTCTTTAGGAACAGTGTTTTGTCATTGCCTTTTTATTCATATATTGTATTTTAGGTTTACCTATGATGCAACATGTATTGAGTACCCATTCATTCCAATTGCCAAGTAATACTTCATTGAATATAAAGTTTTACATAACAGAAAACATACTTTTTTGTCCATTCATCAATGTATAGACATTCAGGTTCTGTCTGCTTTTTTGCCATCATGAGTAATACTGCTGTCTGCCTCTTGGTGTCAGTTTCTGGGGACATGTTATTTCTCTGGATATATAACTGGAAGTAGAATTTGGAAATATTGTTAACTCGGTTTAACCCTTCTAGGAGCTAGCATGCTATACTAAAATAACCCTGTAATGCCAGACTTAAAGTGAACTTTACTCACTGTTTTAAAGCTCAAATCATGCTAGAACATTTTTGAGCTTTTTGACTGAATATTGCTGTATTTACTAAAAACTACAATTTTTGTAACAGTGTTTTGAGTGATAATGCTGATTTTACTGTAGACCACAGGAGCAATTTGGTATATTCTATTGAATTGCTTCACAAAACCAAGTGATAAGATTCTTAAGTCCTGTTTTATCTTGAGACCTTTTTTAAAAAAATTGTGATTGTTCTGAAACTCCAGATTTGAGCCAGGTAAACACAGTGTAAAATTGAAAGGAAAAATAGAAACAGTAGGAGCAGTATCTTACCATGCCTTATCTTCTAATTTTTATATATTTCCTTTTGTTTAGAAAGTTTGTCTTATCATTGTAGGAAAAAAATGAAGAACGAGATTGCTGCTGTTGTCTTCTTTTTCACAAGACTGGTTCGAAAACATGACAAGTTGAAAAAAGAGGCAGTTGAGAGGTTTGCTGAAAAACTGACTTTAATACTTCAAGAAAAATATAAAAATCACTGGTATCCAGAAAAGCCATCAAAGGGACAGGCCTACAGGTAAAGAAAAAAATTAACAGTCGAACTCTGCTAAAGTGGAGTCAACTTCTGAAATGAATAGAGGACTGAAAAATGTCCAGACCGTGTCTGTCATAGTTGTATCTGCAAACTATAGAACTTGGGGGATGTGTAGGTATTATAAAACTCACCCATTCGTTGGTGGAGTCTGAGTGCCTCTTTTGAGGAATCCAATGCTATTGTCTCATAGGGAGTTAGTTTCTAAGGTTTGTAGTCTTGACTTCAGATTGAATGTAGCTCTGTGTATACCAGAGGTACTTGGGACTTCTCACAGTTCTAAAAGACTCCTGAGTACTTGTTAACTGATGTGGCATGAGTTAAGGAAAATGAGTTGTATTATATCTTTGAATTATATGTCAGGTGTATTTTGAGGAAAAAAGAACTGAGAATATTAGACACCTAATAATATATTTTTATTATTTGTAGAAGTAATTGATTTATAATGTACATGATTTTTATGGTGAAAGCCACTGTCACTTTTAGATGAAGATAATTCAGTTGTGACCCATACATGGCAAATACTGGCTCAGGGATCCGAACTGAGGTGTAACTAACTCCAGATTCATATGAGATAACTGCATACTACTGCTTCAGTACCAAGAAGGAAAAGAATTCTCACTCGGCAGCTGCCTTTTGTTCTCTGGTTTATAAGTTATATTTACAGCTAGAAATAAAGGAGAGCACACTCCTACAAAACATGTCCTGGCATGCTGAATGCCTCATGTTTTGTGTGACTACTCAGGGAGCTGACTTGAGAATATTCTGAACTGGTCAAACCTTGCCTCCTATGTAAATGTGGCCATAGGAAACAAAAGTGCAATAGCTGTAAATGAATCAACAACTTCAGAAATTCTCTTGTATTTGTGTATGTTCCTTTCCTAAAGTTTCCTCCACATATCACTTTGCTGTGAAAAGGACTTCCTTCTTTTCAATCTCTGACCTTTCCCAAGTATAAGACTTTTGAAGAAGTCTAGATTTTGTTTCTTATTTGCTAAAAGCCAAAGTGAACTTTGTTTTACATTGACAAAAAGAGAATTAAGATAATTAGTATGTTTTTATCTTGCACCACTCTCCTAATTTTTTTCTACGTATGTTCTTTTCTGATATCATGCACAACTTCTGTGAGTCAAAGCTGTTGAGACTTTTTACACTGATCTAATCGACTTTGGATGAAGGCTTGAAAGTGCCAAGCCATCATACTGTTATTGTAGGAGGCACTGTCAAGTAAATACTTAAAGGTCAGACAGTGTACAGTTTCATTTCCATTATTCTAAAAACTAAGGAAAAAATTAAACAAGATTCATTTGGCATGTAATCAAAAATATCATTATTGAATCATTATTGGAGCTGTCTTTGAAGTAGGAACCTAATAGATTCAACACTCATTGTTGCTATTTTGAAAGTGAGACTATTGAGTCAACCGGGCATAGACTTTTCAGTTCATGGAGTCAGTTGAAATTTTTTTCAAAATATTTGTTAATTAAGGTTATTTCTTGGTAAATGTATACAAATAAGATGTTTGTGGAGGGATGTTTGGCAGTATTGTCAAGCTCTGTAAATACTCATGTCTGATGTCTCATGTGCAGAGGGTTAAGCAATGGTTTGTGAAGCTCTCATCCTATATTAGAGTGCTTACTCAATTCTTTGCTCCTCCATCTCTGAGGCAGGTTGCCGTTATTGTGCCTGGGAAGGCAGCAGACAATGCTAGACCCCCTGTAACCCAAATGGGAAAACAGGATAGAGTTCCTGGCGTCTGGTGTCACCTGGGCCACGTTGTGCTTTTGAGCCAATTTGGGGAATGAGCCAGTAGAAAGAAGATCTTTCTCTCTGTATCTCCTATTCCTGTGCCTTTTGATATAAATAAATATGTAAAACTTTATTAAAAATGCTTTTGAGCCAACAGTAAGTTGAATCTATTTTGGAAGCATAATTAGAAATGCAAACAAATGTGTATGAATATGGATGTATCTTATATTTTGTAATTAAAAAACTGGAAAGAATGAAGCTGTCAACATTAAATGATAGACTTTATGCGACTTCTAAAAACTTGTTTTTGAGCAGTGATAAGTAATCACTATGTAGAGTGAATAAATCAGTTGGCTGATGTAAAATATGTTTAGCATCCATATATATCATAATTCTTAGATTGTATAAAAGATACATCTTAAGATTTATTTCTTTAACTGCTTTTGATCTCAGGGCACATGGAATTTCAGAATTACTCTGGACATTAGAATCTATAGCATAATTCCATTTTATACAAAGGATCAAGAAACATCTATAAACAAAGTTGTTTACTCTCAATTTGAGATACTGTTATTGGTGGTTATACTAGCCTGGATTTGAATGCTGATACATCACTTCCTATGTGTTGTTGGCCAAGTTACTCAGGTTTTCTGCCTCCTTGCCTTAAAATGGAGAAAATAGGATCTTAATCCATAGAATCATTGTTACTATTAAAAGTGAAAGAAATTCTTTTATGACATATGGTACAGTAAGCCTTCAGGAGTTACTGTACAGCAACATTTATTATTAGACACATACCAAGACTTATTCATTAATCTGATTTTCTTGATTAATGCTTGATTGTAAACAGTTCATACTTTAAATTATAGCAACCATTTCTCTGTTTAAGCAGCATTCCCTTTTTTTTAAGATATACTTTATTTTTATTTGAAAGATAAAGTTATATAGAGAGAGAGATCTTCCATCTGCTGGTTCAAGCTCCAAATGGCCACTGTGGCCAGAGCTGAGATGACCCAAAGCCAGGAGCCAGGAGTTTCTCCAACACAGGTACAGGACTCTAAGGACTTGAACTACCCTCTGCTTTCTCAGGCCGTAAGCAGAATACAAAGTGGAGCAGCTGGGACATGAACCAATGCCCATATGGGATGCTGTCACCACAGCTGGAGGCTTAGCCTACTGCGCTCTGATGCCAGCCTCATAAAGCTTATTTCATTGTGTATTTTTTGCATTCACTCCAGTTGCCATCTTTACACATTGTGTTGGAGTTATTTATTAGGTAAAAAAAGGTATAACAGACTCCATGGATTTAGAAGGTGTGGTTGGGTTTTGTTTTTGGTTTTTTGGTATATTTTTTTCTTTTAAAAAATGGCAGCACATTGTTAAATAAGCCAATAGCATTTTAGAACCATTTTTAATAAATATGTGATATGAATGAGTCTATTTTTAGAACAACTTTAGGTGAGGCAAAAGATACCTTGATACTTATCACACAAGAAGTAATAATAAATCAGTGCAGGTCCGGCGCTGTGGTCTGACAGCTAAAGTCCTTGCCTTGAACACTGGAATCCCATATGGGCGCCGGTTCTCGTCCTGGCAGCACCACTTCCCATTCAGCTCCCTGCTTATGGCCTGGGAAAGCAGTTGAAGATGGCCCAAGGCCTTGGTACCCTGCACCTGTGTGGGAGACCCGGAGGAGCTCCAGGCTCCTGGCTTCGATTCAGCACAGCGCTGGCCATAGCAGTCACTTGGGGAGTGAATCACTGGATAGAAGTTCTTTCTCACTGTCTCTCCTCCTCTCTCTCTATATATCTGACTTTGCAATAAAAATAAATGCATCTTTAAAAAAATAATAAAATAAATCAATGCCAGATCAAAACTTGCCACAAACATTTCCAAATACTTGAAACACTGGTTGAGGTCTTTTGTTAAGCAGTTGTACAGGAACTTAATTTACAAAAGCTTTTACCATCAGTGTTCTAAGTAATATCTCGCAGCTTCTGTACTCCTTATCCATTTAATGTACATGTGTGGCTGAGTAGTCTATGAATAGACTCAGTAGAGCCAGTTCTAGCTAATTCTCTAGTCTTACACAGATAATCTCTCTTCATGACACTGGGCAGTCTTACACTGCCTATTATTAGTCTATAGTTCACATTTACTTTTTATTTTGCATAAATATGCTCCTGTTTTCTCTCTTGGGGTACTTTTATTATTATATGTGTTGGTAAATATGTATAAAGATTTATGATTAAGATGCAGGTAAAATATTAATGCAGCTTCACTGTGTTGTAGGTGCATTCGTGTCAATAAGTTTCAGAGAGTTGATCCTGATGTCCTGAAAGCCTGTGAGAATAGCTGCATCTTATACAGCGACCTGGGCCTGCCCAAGGAGCTCACTCTCTGGGTGGACCCATGTGAGGTGTGCTGTCGGTGAGTTCACAGACTCGGCACCGCGGACAGATTTGATAAATTCTCACATATATAATTTGCCTGTGAATTGTTAGGGTCTAAAGCTGGTGCTTTGACTTTCCCAAAATATGAATTTTATGTGAGTACCCTTTGTGAAGGAATGGTTGCATTTGTAAAGCTAGAAACTCCTACAACTAATTTGACAGGGTTTTCCTGCAACTTTCCCAAGAATTTTATTGAGGTTTGGGAAGTAGGAACTTCAACATGTAGACTCCTTTTAGTCAGTTACTGTATTTGATTGTTGGTGTACTTTACCTTCTTCAAACTGGAAAGAACCTAATTTTAAATAATACTAAATAGTAAGTTTTACTTCGTCTCCTTTCTATCTGTACTCTTTCTACCTCCTTTTTTGCTTTTTAAGTGACTACATGATACTTTTTGATCATGAAACATGATTCTTTTCATAATGGAAATTACTACTTACATCTCTTAATGAACAGAATTATTAAGGGTGCTGGGTATGAACTCCAGTCATCCAGAGTGCATTTATGGTACACCAGGAAATCTTGGTTGTGGGGTTTTAAGAAATAAGAATGGTTAAAGGAGAAGGATTAAGCAAATCATAACATCGCCTGATGTGCTCTAATAGAAACAGACACAAAGTAGAATAGGTGGCACAAAGGAGCAAGTTGTTCACCAAGAGGACTAAGTGAAGGATGCCTCAGCTGGCAGGAGGAGGATGAGGAGTCCAGCTTGACTAGATAACAAGGTGATAACATTCTGAAAAAGGAAAGAGAATGAAGAGAGTCATGGAAGCTAGCCTTCCCACATTTTCCCACACTATATTTCTTGTCCCTGTTCCTTTAAGATGTTTCTCCTTGGTTTTGAAGTATCATTTGCCTCACCTCTCCTGTTCATTATAATGGTGCTGATTTTTGATGTAAACCTAGTTCTGTCCTTGAGGTGATCAGTCATACCTGCTGCTTAGTGAAAGTGGGAATGAAGACATGTAGCCAAGCATACGTGTGTATTTTTTCAGTAAAATTCACCAGAATTGTTCTTAGAGACTACTTGATTTTTCAGCAGTTAGTATAAGCTTATTTCTTTGGGAAACTGATGTACAAGGTCTTGAGGTTTAGGGAGATGAGGGCTCCCCAATACTTTTTCAAGAGAACACTGAGCAATTTAGAGTGTAGGCCTGAGAAATACGCACTTTTAGATTCTGGAACTAATAGAGGACTCACCTAAGGCTAATGTCAGCTTTTGAACCCTTTAGAAGACTTTATAAAAAGTAAATAACACAAAGTAATCATTTAGTGTTAATAAATGATCCTAAATCATCAGGGGCAAGTTTTGATGTCTAGGGTTAAGAAGTTGAGTAATTATGTAAACGCTATGGACATACTTACTTTAAATGATTAAAATAAATCTTGGCATCTGAGGATAAAAGCTTTGGCTACGTAGACATTCTGCTTAAGTGGATACTTCATTACTTGACGATGCCACATAATGAAAAATTACTGTGTTTTCATCTTAGTAATTCAAGAAAATTTTTGAATTCAGTAGCCCTCTAATAGTTTGATTTATTAAAGTTTTGCCACAGTTTCAAAAGGATATATTATTTTCCTACAACTAATATGGATCACCTTAGAATTGAGGGTGCTGTCATATGCAGAACACCAAAAAGATACATTAGCAAATGAGTAAAAGGTAATTAGTATTAAATAAGTTAATGGAGGGATTGAGATATTCAGAAATACTTCTTAACTGAAACTGGAAACATTAATATTCAAAAAATGAAATTATATATAATTTATACAAAATTATATATGTATATCATGCAATTATGTAATTCAATATGTATCTGAGTCTTTGCAAATAGCTTATTGATATACTGGCAATTAAAAAATTGAGTTGTACGCCCAGCGCTGCAGCATAGTGGCTAAAATCCTCACCTTGCATACCCCAGGATCTCATATTGGCACCAATTCATGTCCCAGCTGTTCCACTTCCCATCCAGCTCCCTGCTTGCGGCCTGGGAAAGTAGTCAAGGACAGCCCAAAGCCTTGGGACTCTGCTCCCGCGTGGGAGACCTGGAAGAAGCTCCTGGCTCCTGGCTTCAGATCATTTAGCTCTTGCAGTTGCAGCTACTTGGGGAGTGAACCAGCAGACAGACGATCTTTCTCTGTCTCTCCTTCTCTGTAAATCTGACTTTCCAAGACAAATAAATAAATAAATAAATCTTTAAAACAAAATAAAATTTTAAAAAGCCTGGATTGTATTCAGAGCTTTCTCCATATGTCTTCACGTAACTGTGAGGATAAAATGCTGGAGGACAGGAACTGCTACAGTAGTCCAGCGGCTAGGGTCCTTGCCTTAAACACACCAGAAAGCCATATGGGTGCTGGTTCTAATCCTAGCAGCTCCACTCCCCATCCAGCTCCCTGCTTGTGGCCTGGGAAAGCAGTTGAAGTCGGACCAAAGCCTTAGGACCCTGTACCTGTCTGGGAGACCTGGAAGAGGCTTCAGGCTCCTGGCTTCGAATCAGCACAGCTCTGGCCACTGCAGTCACTTGAGGAGTGAATCAACGGACACAAGATCTTCTCTGCTTCCAATAAAAAAAAAATGCTGGCGGATGTAACAGTGCCATATTGTTAGAAAGGTTATCACTTTGTGGAATATATAAGAGAACATATCTTTCCAGTGACAGGAAAGTCTGAAAATCACTGGTAGTTTCATTATCCAAAGTACTTTACAAATTTTTGCAATTTCTGCAATCCTTTTTCTTCCTGATGGGCAACTGTATTAGTTTTTCATCACTATAATGCAACACCTTCGATAAGCAATTAATGAATTAAGGAGATTTGACCACCTACATGAATGAGAGCCATACCCTGTTCAAGTCATAATAAGAGTTTTAAATATTACTGATTTGTTTTAGATTAAATTGAACTCAGTGTCTTAGCCTTGGGTCATTGATAATGAAAGGCTTAAAAGTTGTGTTACTAAATCTCCTCAAAAGTAACTGTGCATTTTAATGTTATAGTAATATAATCAGCAGCTTGATTTACCAGGCCCTTAGCAGGGAGCTGGATTGTAAGAGGGGCATTAAGGCTCATACCTGGCCTGCTGGTGTTGCAGGTGGTGGCCTGTACAGTTGGCCACAACATTGGCCCATGTTTCTGTTTCTATAAAGGTAAAGACTTTTTCTAAATTTCCTTCCTCTCTTTCTGCTTGAATTTGGATTTCATTAATGGGTATAATTCTATTATTATTGTATTATGTCTCTTGTTGATATTTCTAGTATCAGCATATGAATTAGCCTTTCATTGTATTGAAACTTCTTGAGCCATTAAATCAGGGAATGAGATAAATTTACATTGCTTAACCTTAACTAAGTAAAATGAAAATTACATGAATTCTGTGCTGGGAAGAACTCACACAATAGTTAAGGCCTTTAATTCCAAAAATTACCAAGCAGTTTCAGCCAGCTCTGGCCTGCTCATCCACTGTATGGAAAATGAATACCTGGGATAGGAAGTGACTTGCCTGCGGATGCAGAGTTAGAACAAGAAACTAGCCCAGTGCTATTTGTACTATCTTGGGGCAACTCCATTTAGGATATTTTGAAAAGAATAGAAGAAGGAGTTATACAGCACATTTAAGAAACATCTGTGACTCCATTTGGCTTATGAGAAATACATGACAGAACAACTTTAAAAGAAATATAAATTGTCTTTGAGACTACTTGACTTTCAGTATAAACTTTCAAAGGCTTCATGGCAATTAGGTCATTTGTAATTGTCCGAATTCAGAAATGATTTGACCTGTAACTTACCTCTAAATAACATAATTTAATCCTTAGTTCTCTAAGTCAACATTGATGGTATTTCCTTTCTAGTTACTTATTGTGTATCTGTTATATATTATGTAGGGACAGTTTCCGTTATTCTAACATACTAGAAATTCTTTTATAGTATTCATCTATATAAACTATTTAAATAAATCTGTTGGTTTCAAGAAAAATTTCGGTATTTTCCTCAGTATTTTTTCCTTAACTTCTAGAAGTGCCTGAATTTTCATTTTTGTCAGTGCAAATTAAGAAACAGAACTCTCTTACTTTATCATCATAAAAGTAGGCTTCAGATGTCTGGTTTAGTTGCAAGACTTAAAGTACCAGGATATATGTTGTATGACGGTCATTTAAAAATACATTAAAATTTTTCCTGTATAAGTTAAATGTAATCAGAATAATAGATTTGTTTTTGATATTTTTTAAAAGGAATTTCTATTAAGAGTCAAAAGAATTTGAGAAAGAAAATGGGTCATTTTTGTTAGTGCCCAAAACCAGGAGTAGAAACATGGTGGCCCATTTGCCTGACTGGAGCTGGGTTAAGACGTCAGATGTTCAGGGTTCAGTTCTGGGATGATTTTTTTTGTCCACTGTGGACTGAGTCCAAGCCTGTGGGTTTTTGTATATACATTTCTTGCTTGTTAATGTGACTTTCAGATTCATGGGTTTTTATGTGTACTTAGGTATGGAGAGAAAAACAATGCATTCATTGTTGCCAGCTTTGAAAATGAGGATGAGAATAAGGATGAAATCTCCAAGAAAGTTACCAGGGCTCTTGATAAAGTTACCTCTGATTATCATTCGGGATCATCTTCTTCAGATGAAGAAACAAGTAAGGAAGTGGAAGTGAAACCCAGCTCTGTGCCTGCAGCTCCAAGCCCTGTGTACCAGGTAATCATGAAATGGCTCATGAACCTTACAAATAGTGATTAAGGAAAGAGAAATGTTTTGTGAATGTAAACTTGATGGGCCCACCTGATATTTATGCCCAAACACTAAATTGCTTTCTATTTCTAAGACTTTATTGCTGCTCAGTAAACAGGTATTGGAACATAAACAACTTGTTTTTAGTTATAACCTGCTTAATGAGGTGGAAACTTCTGGCCTAAAACGTGATACGTTATCACAAGCTTCCATTCATTCTAGGTTTTGATCTTTTCTAGATGAAAGTTTCAGTGTGGCTATTTGATTATTCACTTCTTTAGATTTAACATAGAATTATCACTAACACCTGTTGTGGTTGTGGGTGAGTGATAAAAATCTTTCATAAAGTGTTTGATGAGAGAGCTGGAAAGTAACCTAGAGTTTCCCTGCTATATAACTTAATTTTTCCTTTGAATTAATGTCTTCTCTTTACAGATATCAGAACTGATATTACCACCTCTTCCAATGTGGCATCCTTTGCCCAGAAAAAAGCCCGGAATGTACCGAGGGAATGGTCATCAGCATCACTATCCTCCTCCTGTTCCCTTTGGTTACCCAAATCAGGGAAGGAAGAATAAACCGTTCCGCCCAATCCCAGTGACATGGGTGCCCCCTCCTGGAATGCATTGCGACCGAAATCACTGGATTAATCCTCACATGTTAGCACCTCACTAGCTTCTTTGATTCTGTTGGTGTAATGCTGAAACCTTACTACATGTTACAAGTTAAAAATTCACATTCATAGTGGTGAAGTTAGATGGACAAAACCATCAAACTTATTTTTATAGAGAAGTTATTGAGAATAATCTTTCTTAAAAATATATATATGCACTTTAGATATATTGATATAGTTTGAGAAACTTTATTAAATAATTAGTCAAGTGCCTGAGTTTTTAATATTGGACTTGAGTATTTATATATTGTGCATCAACTCTGTTGGATATAAGAACATTGTAGGAGTGGACTATTTGTTCTAGCACCTTTGAGCATTTACTTAGTAAAGAGTATGTAACTTATTTATACACAAGGAAATCTATTTTATGTCATTACTTAGAAGAATTGCGTGGAATCTTGTAGTTGCAAATAAAATGTAGTTTGAGGAATGATAATGTGTTTTTGTTCTGTTTTTTAAAAGTAGAGAGTATATTTCATTTCAGTGTATTTAAACATTTCAAAGGCAATAAAAATATAAATTTCCCCTTTAAAAATAAACTTTTTATTAACCTTGCCATCTCCAAAAGCTACATATCAAAAGTAAAATCTGCTCATGTTAGCTGGTTATACATATAATTAAAATAAAATAAAACATCTTCCAGCTACCAAAGTCAATGTACATGGGACTCTTCTGAAAACTTGGCTTGTATTAATTTTTTATGATATCTGACATATGCCTGATACCATTACATAAAGCCATTTGCAATCTCTGATTTGTTCATTGTGCAAAAAAAAAGTTTCAAGTCTTACTGGCACTCTAAAATAGTACAGTACTTCAGATTCTTCAGTAGTCCTTCATTTTTACACCACTGTAATCTCATCAGTCTTGTAAGTGGGCATGAACTACAAAAGAGAAGAAAAAAGATACTTTAAATTTGTAGCCTTTTCATTATTTGATTTATCAGGAAAAAAAAACACTTGCCAGTAAATCATTGGATGGTCTTGGCTATTTGAAAAATTCTTGTTTTTTTTAATAATTGTACCTAGGTATAAAGTAAAGTATGTACACAAATCAAGGTTTATTGAAAGTGTGAAGTCAATTTTACAGTGAAGTTTAAAGTGTTTACTACTTCATTAGAAAACTCATTTTTAACCTTAAAGGCTTCTAGTTCTGTTATGTAGTTCCCTTTACCTATTAAACCACATACAGATTTTAGCTTAACATCTCTCTAACATAATAGCGAATTGCTGCCCCAGAAAACTACTGAGTGCCTGTTTAAGCTTGAATAATTTCCTAGGTGCAATTGGTATCACAAGGAGGTAAGTTTCAAGATTTTTTTTTTAAACTTGCCTGTTGAAAGAATTACTGTACTGCCCCCTAATGGTCCTAGAGAATTTGTGGTGGCAATTTCAGATGTATGGTCAATTGGTGTAAATTTGAAAAAATTCAGTTTATCACCAATTTAGCTTATATCATCTGTTATGTTAATCTGTAGCTAAAGGTATGGGGTAGTTGGGAAAATAATACTGTCAAGATAAGTATTATTTCTGGCACATACATACTAACTCGATGTCTTCCCACATTGGCATAAAATCTCTTCATTAATGCTGATGACTAAATGGCAGGGCCTCTTGAGGAATGTAATGATTTTGAATTTCACAATTTCAGGTACTATTTCTAGAAGATTCTATATTCCACCTTTTTCTAAATTCTTTTTATTTTTTTATTGGAAATTGAGATTCACAGAGAAGGAGAAGCAGAAAGATGTACTTGTCCACTGCTTCACTCCCCAGGTGGCTCCAACAGCCGGAGCTGAGCTGATGTCTGGAGCCAGGAGCTTCTAGGTCTCCCACATGGCTGCAGGGTCCCAAGACTTTGGATTATCATCGACTGCTTTCCCAGGTCATAAGCAGGGAGCTAGATGGCAAGTGGATCAGACCACGATACAAACTGCCACCCATATGTGATCCTGGAATGTGCAAAGTGATGATTTAGCCACTAGGCTACTGGGCCAGACCCACCACTCTCTAAAATTTAAAAAGCAAAAGAAAACTACCACATAAACTAGTTATTTTTGAAAAGGATATATGATGATTTTATTTACATGAACTGCATTGTTTCCCAATCCATTCCTGATGAAATATAGTTTCAGCAGTTGGGTCTTAATTCCTAATGTAAGTATGGGTTAGAAAAGTTTGCTGGTCTTTTTTTAATGATAATTATGACTCAAGGTAATTATGCCTGCAAGAGTTAACATCTTCGCTCTAAAGAAGGCAAAAGGTAGTTGCATAACACTAGCTTTGAAACTCTTGTCAAGCTATTTCAAACATAAGTTTGACTGAATATGAAAATAATTGTCCTTTTTATTTTATGTTTATAGACATAACTGCAAACCTCTAAATTTTAGAGGTTGAACATGGATGTTTGAGAAATTTATTAATATTGAGTGCTTATTTTTGGTTTTTTGCTCCCATACTAAGTTTTCAGTAAACTTCTTTCAAACCTGAATACTAAAGAATGTTGACTTCTGCATAACTACTATGTGATAATTTCATAGTTGCTGATTGGTAAGAGGGAAAAAATGTATGCATTTTACTATGTAGAGTACCCATTCTGTACATTTTGAAGATAATGTACAGATACTAGTACTTAAAGATAGTAGATAATATCTCTACAAAGATATTAGATAAGTTTCTTTTTGTTACTGTGTACAGAAATGTTTAATCTCTTAATAGCCCAAGAAGTAGATACCATTACTATCTCAGTATAGTAGGTCTCTCAGAGAAGACTCAAGATCACCAAAGTGACATAATGAAGCTGTGACTTCAAAACAAGCTGTTTCTTTAGAGCCTGTGCTCCATGATGTCTCCACAATCAGGTAATATATGAAACCGGTTACCCAACTTTGAGGTTTGGATATTTATTACTAGAGCAAAATACAGAAATAAAAGATTACAAAAGGCTCTGTTGAGCTAATTAAGAATGCAAGACATTGTCTGTTGATCAGGCACTAATCCTTGAGTTTCTTGTTGTAAACTATTTTGGTATTTCTAAACAGGAGACTGACATTGATAGCAAAGGCTATGACACTCGGGGAAGTAAAGCAGATGTTGGAAGATCTCGATGTGTAGGTCTCCCCCCTCTCCATCATTCTGCCTTTCAAAATAAATTTTTAAAACTTTTTAAGGATTTGTTTTCAGTTGGAAAGGCAGATTTGCAGAGAAGAGGGAGAAACAACAATCTTATCTGCTTGTTCACTCTCCAAATGACTGAAGCCAATCCAAAGCCAGGAGTCTATAGCCTCCTCCAGGTCTCCCAAGTGGGTGCAGGCTCCCAAGGCTTTAAACCATTCTCCACTGCGTTCTCAGGCCACGAACCGGGAGCTGGGTGGGAAGCAGAGCCGCTAAGACATGAACTCATATAGGATGCTGACACTTGCAGATGAAGTATTAGCCAACAGAGGAATCATGCTGGCCCCCATAATAAAATTATCTTAAGTGTGCTAATAACACATAACATTTAATTTAAAAGACTGGTAAACTTGCCTTTGAAAGGCAATGTGACAATACTCCTCAGTTTTTTAATATGTAAAAATTTTAACATTCAAATCCTGTAGTCCAGCTCCTATTGAAATACTTCCACAAATGTTAAAAAAAAAAAAAAGATAACAATGCTTATTTTAGCAATATTTGTAGTAGCAAAATGTTAACAGTTCAAACTTCAAGAATGAAACTTGTCAAAATGATTCATTCCTACTGACATGGAAAGATATCCACAATATTGTACGTGAGGGTTGAAAACATGTAAAAAGTGCAGGTAATCTTTGATGTGGAAAAATGTCCACAATATTTATGTGAGGAGTGAAAATAGTAGGGTAAAAAAATGAGCATAGCACTGAACTTACTGGGCTTATCCTAGCATGCATTGGAAGTTAAGGTAAAACACTCCAGTACTTGGCAGGTATCAAATACTCAATAGTTCCTACTTGTACACGTGTTTTAAAGCATTTTGCCTAGCAAAATGAAAATTAGGTCTTGCAAGAGAAACTGTGCTATTGTCTTCAATTTATGGATGAGGAGATTGAGCTGGTATTCAAATGAACTGCCCCATGTGATCTAACCAGGAAGGTTTCAAGCCCAGCAGTGGGACACATAAATAATGTTATTTATGTATTTATTTCCTGCATAGAAAACAAAGTAAATACCCTTTTGGAATTTTCATTTTAGGATAGGTAAAAAACTGGCAAACATAAAATTTTACCACAAGAGGGCATCATATATTCTTTTCAAACTTTAGACAATAGGATGCTGGACTGTCTGACATTGTCTGTACCAACAATGTTGGGGCACACTTAAATAAGAGACTGATAGAAATATGATTCCTTATGAAGGACTACACCATTGTAGTAAACTGGGGAAAATCTGCTGGGGGGGTGGGAGTTTGGGGGAGAATCCCAGCCTATATGAAATTGTACCACATAATTCAAAATAAAAATATATTTTTAAAAATAGGTAAAGGCTGTATTTGCAAATAATCTCTCCTATGTGAAAAGCAGTAATGGTTACAACTTACATCATTGTTTTTCCTGTACAACCTGAGATTAGTAATAGAGAATTTTAATTAAATATGTCATGGCCAAGATTACTAAAAAACACTTAGAATTTTTATGTTAGAAGTAGTAAAGTTCATTTAGGAAAATTAAATACACAAAAGCACAAAGAAGCATAATCAAATTTACCTGGCACACCTCCACCATAGATTAACATCATTAATATCTTAATGGGTGGGAAATGTTCACTTTTATACCTCTGACAATCTTCTGTTATGTAAAATACACTCATTTTATGGTCATACAATTTGAAAAGAGCATTTTCCAATTTTGCTGAGTATTTTGAATAACTGCATAGCACCCACAAGCACACATATTGATTGATTTCATCAGTTTATGATTGACTGTTGGGTTACAGATCTCTTTTGGAAGTGTCTTTTCAGGGCCTAGCGCAATGGTTCAGTGGGCTAATCCTCCCCTTCCAAGTGTTTGATTCCTTATGGAAGCCAGTTCTTGTCCAGGCAGCTCCTTGATTATGGACTGGGAAAGCAGTTTCATACACTTTGTTTTTTTTGAAAGGTAAAGAAATGTAGAGGTCTTCCAGCTCTGCTTTTTCACTACCAAAATGCACACAACAATAAGGGTTGACCTAGGCCAGTTTCAAGAGCCTGGAAATCAATCCAGGCATCCCACACAAGTGGCAAGGATCCAAGTACCTGAGCAATCTCTTGGTGCTGCCCAGGTTATGTACATGCACGGTCTGGGACTCAACTCCAGAACTGTGATACAGGACATGGGTGTCCTAAGTGGCACCTAAGTGGCTACAACAACTACCCATCTGCCCAAATTTGATATTTTTAATCCATTTTTCCACGTGCTTCTTGAAGTATTTTCATGTGTAATTCCAAATTCCAAGCTCTTGACCATCATACAAGTTGAGTATCCTTCACCTGAATTGCTTAGGATCAGAAACACCTCAGGTCTGGTTACATTCTGCTCATATTTGGGACTGTTTGCCTACCATAGATTTTCTGTAGGTCCGTGCCCATTTCTAAGCACACGATTTGTTATGTCTTAGTTTGTATTTTTATATTAAGAATACTTTATAATGCTTCCATCTGAGTACTCTTTCCTACCCATGAGGACTCCAATTGAAGAAGCCTGAAATAAGCATTTCTTACTTAGGCAAACCTGGAGAACATGAGACTGTGGACATACTTCTCTAACACAGCAAATAAAGGATCTGTCCTGTGTATGTCCTATATTACTGTCTTGGAATCCATTAGATTAGATTTTTAACAAAAGTGTGACCAGATCTTGAGATCTTTTAGTGCTTCTGTAAACTGTCCTCAA